CCCGAGGCCTCCGGGGCGGGCCTGTGCCTCCTCCTCCTCGTACCCGGGAGGGAGGCAGGGAGGGAGGGAGGCCGCCCCATCTCCATCTCCTTCATTTTCTGCTTTGGGGGGGTTTAAGCGCCGCGTGGATGCGGTGCGGGTCGGGCATTGCCTTCGTGTCCACTCCATTGACTCGATTGCCCTGTAATAACCTGCTTCTCGTGTTCCTTGACACGCTTCAAACGCTTGCAGGTAGATGAGCCTCCAGGCTGTTGAAGGTGACGTTCTCTGGAGCGGAGTTGCTGGAGGTCTCGGGCAAACTCTTTGATAAAGCTGACTAATCAACTTAGGTGCGTTAGGACTGCAGCGGGTTCCCCGCAGGCTGGGGAAGGAGTCGTAAGGAAGCGTTCGATCGATGGCAGCAGGCCGGGGCGCCGTGCTGGCCGGCGTCGGGAAGAGCTCTGCCGGGCACGTCTGCCTTATTCGCTTACTCGGGGTGATGAGATCTTTTCCCTTCCCTGGCTGGCAGGGGTCAGGGTGGGAGTTAACACCCGCTAGAGCCTGGGCAGAGTTTGCCTGCGGAGGCTGCTGGAGACCGCCTGCCTTTCTGCTGGCTCTGGGAGCTCACGCACCGGTAGAACTGAACTTGCGTATCCGTTAATAACTTGGCGTGGTGAAACACTGACACACGCTGCTCCTTCCATTCTGCTCTCGTGCCCGTCTCTCCATACTCCTCACTTCTTGCCTATTCCTCACAGTAACAAATGTGTTCAGTGATACGCTTTTTAAGAAAAATACTAATGATGCTGTCTTGCTGAACTTGCAGCTAGAAGCAGCCCGTCCCTCTCAGACTGGTGCTCTTCAGAGAAGCTCACTAAGAATTAATTTTTCAAGATAGCTTAAACCATTCGCTGTCCTCATGTGACAAAGGCTGCAACACTCCACTGCTAAATTGCCTTTTTTTTTACTTTCTTGGCTACTGCCTCCATCATTTCCAATAAAAACCAAGCTAGCAGGTATCTTTGGTAAGAGCACGGTGGGACACCAGTCGTGCTGAGAAAAGGCAGTGGTGCCCGCTCAGGTCAGTCGGGAGGAATGGCTTGTTGCAGGGTAGAACTTAAAATAAATCTTCAGAAACCTGCTTGAGAAAGTAAGACTCATCAGTTTTAAGAAAGCTCATCCTTTTTTGTGCGTAAGAGTCCTGTATGTTGGGGGAATTTGGGGATGTGCACGTATTCAAATCTCTGTTATACAAAGTCAAATTCATCTGCTGTCTTACAAAATGGTGCTGCTCTGCTGCAGACCTCTGAGCGTGTTAGCGCTGATCTCTAGGTGCAAAAATAGCCTTCCACACGTTACTAAAAAGGCTCCTGATACAAATCAAAACTGGATGTCTGAAAACCCCGCAGTAAGAGGGCTTCTGCCACCACTCTTTAAGGGTCAGGTGCTGCTTCTGTAACTGCATCAGTTTCGTGGGACCGGTAGAAGGAGACTTGCGATGGCTGATGCTGCCAGACAGCGCGCTGCAGAACACAGAGCCCACCGCTTGTACGGGCATCATCGCTAAAACCTACTAATGAACTAAAATGCGTAATTACTATAGAGCTGGCTAACTCCCTTAATGGGAATGTGAGACTTGCCTAGCAAGTGAGATCCTTGCTAGAAGGATGGGAGTTGCTATTTGTTTTCCACGTAGGAAAGGACTAAGGAGTTCTCTCCACGCGATCTCATTTGGGTATCAACCGTGCTAGCAGAACTCGCCACCTGCGGCTTTCCGAGGGATGCTCGAGTGCCTGGGACGTCCCTCTGTCCTTTCCCTGTGCCGCCTGTGTTTCTCTTGCTTTCCTTCTGTCCTTCTCCACCCCTGTGGACCACTCCGTAGGGAACCACAGCCCTGCCCGCAGGGAGAGGCAGCCAAAGGGCGGGTGGACAGCCTTTAGCAGCTCTATTGCAAAGCCTGGCAACCCTGGCGGGTGCCCCTCACTCTCACTGGTCTTATTTTCTCTTCATCAGCAAGGAGAGAGAAGTGTTGATCACTGAGGTGGTGGATCTAGGAGTGGGGCAGTGTCCTCTTCTGCTCCAGGGTCCATCCTGTGTAAAGGGACACCAAAAGCTGGTCCAGGAGCTCTTGGATCCTCTCCTGCCATCTCTTGGCAGGTACGCTGCTTCGCTCGCTCACTAAACGCCTACGTGGCTTTTCGTATCTGCAGCGTCTGATGCTCTTAAACTGCCAAGGAAGGTGGCTGGTTCCTGGGGAAGTCATCTCGGGAAAGGTGTGTTTTACTGTGAAATCTTGACATTTCTTAGTCCTCCTTTGAACATTGGCTGGAGGTCAGCACATCTCCCGAAGGGAGACCTTCCTGCACGCCTTGCAAAAAGGCTTCTGTGCCTGCCCGGTCCATGTCATTAAGCAGAACTGCGAACCACCGTGTCAGCATGGAACTTCACATTGCTCAAAAAGGCTTTGGAGTACAGGCTCAGGGTCCAGCGAGGAAAGCAAAGGCAAAGAGAAACTCTGTTACTGTTTTCCAGTCAGGGGAAAAAGAAAAGAAAAGTAAAAAAAAGGCAAAAAAATCAAGGCCTGATGAGGAGGGGAATTGCTAAGTTGCAAAATAGGAGGTTTGAAAGCTATTTCATGGCTTGGGGAGCAGAGGGAATGATCAGCATCGTGAACAGGGAAGGCAGGGAACAGGCAGTGCCCCAGGCAAAAGATATATTCTATTCCCGCTGCTAAACGAGTATTGATGAAGAGCAAAGCCTGAATAAGCCACCCAGACCTTCAGAGTCCCGGCTGAGAGGGCAGCTTCAGCCCTACTCGCTTGCTTACGCCTTCAGATAACTGTGCGCTTGCTGTTCCTGCGTTGACCTAACTGCAAAGTAACGCGCAGTTTTGAAGGGTTATGCTTGCTGGTGCGCAGTAGCGCACACTTGTGCTACTCTGCTCGTAGCTGTCTTAATGTCTGAAAAACCTTAACGTCTTAAACTCTCAGTGTGAAAGGGAACGGACGTTGAACGCCCCTATTCCCTGCCCTCTTCAGAAGGTGGTGCAGAATTAAGCCCAAGAGCTCTGCAAGAGCTAGATACGTCGGATTTCTTCCTTATAAAACTGCTGTACCGGAATGAAACAAGGCGTGGAAATATTTTAGGAAACAACACGTGGAATTTTCTTCCCAGAGATGGAATTTCTCTGGAATTCTCACTGTGATGCTTCCCCATTCACTGCCCTTCAACTCGGTGCATTGAAGAGGAGGAGCTCAGAGAGACAAAAAGCTTCGCCCTTGCCCCCCTCTGCTGCAGCCCGGACCCTGCCAGACTGGGTCCTTTGTAGTTCCCAGTGTGGCTTCTCCCCTGCTGCTCGCTCCGAGTGCTGCTGTCTCGCCAGTGATCCTTGTGGGTTTTAGCGCTCCGTTTATTGTTAGCTCCACTGGGTCTCCTGTAATGTGAGTTTCCTCTGTTGCTGTATTAGAAGAAAAGCCATGTAAATAAGAGGTTTGTAGAAACCTCTGCTCTGTGACTGGGGATCTGTGTAACTGGTGGCGACATCAATGGGGGTGTAGCTGAACCAGTTTTCAGCTTTTTTCAGTGCGTATAACTTCTGCAGGGGGAACAAAATCCCAGACGTTCTCGTAAAATCGAGCGTATTTTCACGTCTCCTTTTAAGCACGTTTGTTCCGTTTGTGATGCTGGGCTTCACGTATGTCTCACTTAACGCCATTCCTGCATTCAGTTCTTTCATGCCGCTCTCAGGCCCTGAGAGTTTCATCCCACCTCCCAAAGAAATCCTCCGCCTGGACCTGCCGCCCAGAGAGCTCCAAAGCGGGAGGGGGAAGTGGCGAGAGCAACATAAAACAGGGCCGTCGAGCAACGTCGGTCTTGTGATACCCTTCCTCACAGCGGTGGCTTCTCTGTGATGTTGCATCATTTCTAAAAATAGAACTTACGGTCCTTTGGGAAATGGCACTTGTCTTTTGTTCTGTAGAGCACCTCATGTGTTTTGAGTCTCGCTTAAAAAACCCGTGTAGGAAGCAGTAAAGTGGGTTTTAAGATGCTTTATTTCCGTGTTCTCACGTATAGTCCTGGTTCTCAGTGGTGAGAATGGACTTCAGAAGGTGCAGATGGCATTGCCCATTGCTCTCCAGAGCTAAAGTAAAAGGTGAAGGGAGATTCTAGGAGACTGAGCCACCGTCAGACTGTGCGAGGGGGATTTGTACAGAAGCACGTTGTTTTTTCTAGCCACAGGTGCTTCTTGCCTCCCAGTAGCTTAAATAAAGAGAAAAATAATAACATGAGTAATTAAACGCACGGAAAACAGGCAGGATAGACTAATTGGAACAGTCTTTTGATGATAAATCAAGGAAAATGACACAGGTAGGAGTGGAAACTACAGCTCAAAGGAGTACCGGTTTGAGTCTCAGATACAATTTAAAACAGCATCTCAGTTGCCTTCCCTGGTCAGACGGAGCTCTTCCAGTGCCTCTGATTTTTCCAGAACTGACTCATACAGACTCTTGAGAAGGAGTAAAATACTAAAACTAAAAGGTTCTGTGAAATTTTAGATGAGATTTAATCTTTCAGAGTACTGAAGGAGAGGGAAACATTTACACTCTATGGGAGCATAGTCTACAAGGAGAAGGTAAAAGACTTCACCGCCCGTGTTTTGTGGAAGCTCCGCTGGCGGTGCAGGCCATCTTTGATGCCTCAGGTAAGGTTGCCACTGCGTTATTTTCTCAGCTGTGGACTCGGGTAAAGGTTCAGCTTCAGCTTCGTCTTCTTCAATTTCCATACAATTGCAATAAAACAAAAAAGTCCCCGTGAGTCCGCACGCAGAAGGGAGGTACTGGGAAGCGAAGTAACGTGATAAAAGGCAGAGGAGGGAGATGAGAATCCACAGTGAGCAGCAGTCTGTATTTGCTTGTAAGTTAAGTTTCTCTTCGGTTGATATTTTGCTACTCGAGGAGTTTATTCTGGACAAATCCCATCTTGTAACTTCTCCACAATGGTGCGGGAGGTGCGTTATACGCAGGCCAGGGTTTTGTCACGCTGGGAGCAGAGGGTGTGCGTCACCACACGGCCACCGCTGCGTCGGGATCCGGAGCGCGTTCACCACGCGGAGCGGCGCCGGTGTGGACTAATGCCCACCAGGTAAATCCGTCCCTGGAGCGTTTACAAGGGTCATCATCTTTGTGGCGTTTCTTGTCCACCTCTGTGCTGCAGAGAAACGGTTGACAAACGATGGCGGCGGGTGTAATGCTGATGAAAAAAGGCTCAGAAACTGTTTTGTGGGAACCTGTTCAGTGAAATCCCTGGAGTTATTGGGAATTTCCTCCTCCCCTCCATCGGAATGAACTTGAAAGAATCGCATCATTAGTGGTGTATCCTCTTATTTATATATTACAATTTTTGAGGTGCTGCATCCCATCCTCAGCCTGTTAAAGAATATAAGTAAACCTGGACTGCAATTGCTTTAATTATATTCAAGATGCGTTTTTCAGACGCAGCCGAGAGGCACAGCGGGTCTCGGTTCCCTCTGCAGAAATGACAGGTATTTCAGGGCAAACCCGCGCCTCGCCTTCCTCGGGGGAAAGGCTGGGGATCGTGGAAGCGCAGCGGGCGGCTGTCAGACCTCACAGCCTCCATCGCTGTCACCCGTGAAACAGCCGTGAGTAGGGGGGGGAAAACGTGTCAGGTTTGAGGAGGCCGCAGAGGAGGCCGACACAGCGGGGTCACCGGCGGGGGAGCGCCAGGGAGAGGTGCCGGTGGGGCGAGCGCAGAGGGCGGCCAGCGGGGCCCGCGGGGCGAGGGGCGGGAGGAGGCAGCAGCGCCTGGG